CAATATAAATAAATGAAAATACTTGTTGACGCTAGAACAATCGTATCAATATATTCTACATATAAATCACTATAATTTGAACGATAACTAAAATAAGTAGACTTATACACTCGCGTTTCTGTCCAAACAGAAATTAACATTAATTTTGACAAGAACAGCCGTATCTTTTTAAGTAATTCAAACGATAGTCTGAAATTAGTCACATTGATCAGGGTTCGATTGTTATAGTACATTAATAAAATTACAATAGTTAAATTAATACAGTATAAATAACAAAAATTGTACAATTATTTACAAAACATACACAAAAATAATATTCCTTACACGCGATTATTTCAAATATATCAACTGATTTATACTAATGTTTGTAAATAAAATTCTTGAAATATAATATGAACGTTATTTTAACAGCACCTTTTCTTAATAAAGGATACACTGTATTTGAATTCCTTCTAAACAATGTCAAACACTATCTTAAAAATGCCAACTTCTGTTCTTGTTGGTTTGTTCTGTGTTTTCCGTGCTCTTTGCACAAGCAGAAATATCATTGATTTATTATTAGAACAAGTCATAGCAAAACATAAAATCAAAGATAATCACGAGGCAATCGTACGAGGAACAAAAACCAAAAAAAAAAAAGAAAAAAGACGACGTCTTAAAAGGTAGATCAAGCGCTTGGCAGTTTAAGCGTGCATGGCGATTACTCGCTTTCATTTGCTCTCATTATTATTATTAGCCAACTAGAAGTAACTGGATCTTTCTTATTTGTCTCCTCCTTCGCCAAGCGGAAACGGTCGATCGTTTCTTCGTGGATAGTTAAATTCGTCTGATCAAACTGATATATTATTCACTGCCGTACGTGTTTGTTCATTAGTTTGCGCAACCGCTTGACGTTGTTTACGCAACTCGCTTCTTTTATCGTTTCGACGTTCTTCTTACGCGTTCAATCGCAATTAGGCTACCGCTGGGCAATATCAAATTTGCACGCCGCACGGTGCCACTTTTCGCAACTCGACAATCACGTAGGCGTCGCTCATCAAAACTAGCGTGAAACTGTTCTCTCGGTGTACGCTGTACAACGAAGAAATCGCGTAACAATCGGCCAAGGGTTGATTCCACGTGCAAAAATAAGTCGGGAAGCAAGAGTAACTTTCATTTGATTTCGAAGGGAAACGTGCTCGAAAATTTATCCTTACTATAATGTTTAATGCAACAATATTAAGTTATATTATTATTGTTATTGTTATTTTTAACATGAGTTAAATTGTTCTCTACACTATTCGACTGAGAACAAACTATACTGGTTTCTGTGCAAAATATACTGCAAAAATATCCAAACAAACGCGACAAAGTACACCGTATGTATTAGCGAGCACGTATGTATTATAGTTACACGAAGAGTCACGCAAAGTTCGGCTAATACGTCAAAATTTCCCGAGAGTCGAACACCTTACGGAACGAGCAACGAACTCTCATAAATCAGTGACAAATTAGAGTCAAGACAGAAACGTTCGCGATCGTAAATGGTGATGGCGAACCGAGCGAGAGAGATCATGCGTGTCCTTCTCTGTACAAGTGCACGCACAGTTATAATACGTGGAAAGGTCAAAGATCGATCAAACGAACCGTTTCTTACTTACTAAACGATCGAGCACGAATTTTTCTCGAAATAAATTGGCCTGATCGATCGATCGATACGTTCTCGCGCGATTCCCGAGACTCTGATATTTATTTATTACAATAGCCACCGGTTTCTCTGTCTGTCGGTGAACCAGTGAACGCCGCCATTTCGACTTTCAATTACGCTCGTGGGAACGAGCATAAATAAAACATGGACAACCGTGGTCCATCAAAAAACAATTAATCTGCAGGGCAATTATTTGCCTTGATCAGACCCGAGGTTTAACATTAATCAAACTCGAGGAGCGGATATGGGATGCACGCGCTTCCTTTTTGCTACGTGCTTCTTCTTCCCCCTCCCCCCTCCCACCCCTAACGGATTAATGGGAATTAGCGAGCCACAGATTAAGCCAGAAAAGCTAATACTATTAGTGGAAGTTGAACTGAGACAACCGCCGTACACGTAATGGCGGTATCATTGCTAATCGTTGGTTCACTGCTGGTTTATAGTTCGAGATTCCTTTGATTTACCGGTGGAACTTAATTTCATGACTCTTTATCTACATCCATCATAGGCATTTACTTTTATTTATTATTGAACACAAGTTTTGACGGATATATACTTTTATTACATTTGTATTCTATATTTAATTTAGTATTTCCGTGCACGTTAATTTCTATATAATTTTTATAATTTCAATACACGTTCGCTTATTATGTACAGTGTGATAAAATACTCTAGACAAGGAAATCACGGTTGGTATTAGACGATTTATACTACGGTTTATGTACTCGAACATTTATAGGAACTCTTCATAAATATATCGTGTATGTTATATGAAACATTTTGACACTTCGTTTAACGTAGCGAGATCCAACTATAATGGTTATATTGGCGAAATTTTAAACAATTCTGAAGATGTATGCAGAAGTTATAGAATATGTATTCATCAGTATAAATATATTTCACGAAGATCACGAAAATATTTAAACAGTCGCGATATAATCCATTTAGTGGAACTATTCTTTAATACTTATACATGTATAAGATGGCTGTTTGAATTGTACATTAAGTTTTTACTAAATATATTCACCGTTATATATTATTTTTGCTAGGTACGTATAAATATATTTACAATAAATATATCTTGTATCTTTTGTACATATATATTTTCAAATTGATCTCAAATTTTACAAAGTATAGTCATTGCGCTCAATTCCAATTTCAATGATATTTCAAAATGTTTCATATTGATAGAAAGTTCGAGTACTTTCATTAGTCAGGTATTCATATACTGCATACAAATATTGTTTTAACAAATGTATATTTGCAATAAATATCTTACAACTCCTATACACATTTTATATATTACAACAGTAACATCATAACAAAAGACGACTATTATACGTATGTCATTATCATGTAGATATAATAACATATATCATGTAATCAACGAAATTTCAAAATTCATAATATCATAAATTTGCAAAATGTATAATATTATGCATTTATTATATTAAATACTACGAACCAATGTGTACTACGTATGTTTCAGCAAACTCCATTTATAAAACATCCCGTTCCAATTTCAGCTTCTTAAAATTACTTTTTTTCTAGCAAACACGCGATATCTGATAATGCGTTTACAGCATTCGTTCATCCCCCCAAGTTCTCTCGACAAATTTGGCCTCGCTTATTACACCAACAGTCGTTCAATGAACGCAACGATACGAATACAGGCGCGAATGTAGTCAAACATTGAAGAGCGAACGGAAACGCGTCATTATACGATGTATAGAGAACAAGATCGATTAACCAATCGCGAATGCAACTCTGCAACTTTCCAAATCGCGGCTCTTTTCCCAGAGAAGCGTCGCCACAAGCTGCCATTCCCCGCCACGCAGAAGGACAGCGATCTCGATTCGAGTTCCGCCGGCTTTCTTCGTTCTTCACGTGGGTAGCCGCGGATATAAATTATTCTTCGGCCGCGGCGAAGTGCGGCGCATTTAATTGTGACAACGAGATTGATCGCTGCCCGCGACTGCTCGCCGCGTACGCTCGCCATTAATATCGCGGGACACGATTTACACGCGAGACGCGGGATAATAACAATCGAGAAACAAAAGTGGCCGGCGCATTGAATACACCCCCGGTGCCACGGCGTTATTAAGTATTATATTTAAATCATTTGTTGCAGGCGCATCGGCCGCTAACGAGGCGGCCACGACAGCGCCCTAACGAGCACGCCCACGCGGTTTCGTCGTTTCGCGGCAAGTTTTCCATCTTGACGAATGACCCGAACGCCCCCTTACATCGACGATCCGGAGGGGGGGCAGGTGAGTCTCTGCTTCCGCAAACTCGTTATTATCGCCGTTTTGTCACAAAACTATAAATTGAATATCGATCGAGAGGGTGCGACTCTTCGTGCGTCATGTCCTCGCCTCCCCTCCAGACACGTGAATGAGTTTTGTAGACTATGGCGACCCGATCCTCCTCCAGCCGATCGAGGCTGTTCGAGGTCGAAGCTTCTTTCACGACACGTCACGAAAGGACATGGATTTTGGACAATACAATTACGCAATAAATCTAACAACTCTCTGTGTGTCGAAGACTTTGTTAAATATAGTAAAGTTTATTTACTAATTCGTGATGTCTTTTGTATTATACGGTCGTTAAAATCATAGTTTCAGATTGAAATTAAAATTGTTGAACAATACCTAGAATCCTTTGTATTGTACGATTTTTTAAAACTATAGTTTAATTTGAGGTTAGGACTGAAATTGTTGAATATCGATGTAGAGTAATATTTATAAATTTAAAGTAAAATCAATGTATTTGAATAAGCCGCTACATGATATTATAAAACGCTAAATAACATTATAAAATTTGTCTCTTTCTTTTGAGTAAAATTAAAAATTTTCAAACTAAATTTACTCATCTCAAATTATCGAGGATTGGTAGCTTTCTGCATAACTTTGGTGAATTGATTTTAGACGTTTCTCGCGTAAGTTTCAATCACCCAAGAGTGTTTTCCTTTTTTCCATTTTACACCGTGCTCTGACGAAACACTTGCAATCCGAGTGTACTAATTTATCTAATTTAATTTAATTCGTTTATTTAATTCTGATCAAAATATATGCGACATAGCATGTATTATTCGCGGGAAAAAAAGAAATCAACAGAGACTGATAACCGCGTAATTAGATTATTATCGCACTTTTCGATATGAATTTCTGCGGCAACAAATCGACGATATAAATAAAGAGAAATTCTCTCGGTCGAGCGTTTCGTAGGAAAGCATCTTCTTGAAAGGCAAGCGAGCGAGCACGCTGCTCGTAGCATTGTAAAAATGTTTTACAAAAAAAGAAACAGCCAGCAATCAATCAGCCGATAATTTCAACGCAGGTGACAGCGTCCCGGGTGGAATTTTAATAACGACATCGTAACGAGATTCACTCGCTCTTTCTTCCCGGTCGCCATGGGCAGCCTATTATCGATCACAGGATCGCGCTGAATGCAACGTTTCAATCCATTCGCTCGCGTTGCCTCTTCGATAACTTAATTTGCCGCTCGATCGTGCGCGCGACATTCACGTCCCTCGCGTCCGCGCGCATATTTTATTTTAAATGCCCTTCGCGCGCTGGAAGAATATTTAAAGAGGAAGCGCCCAGCGCGAAGCGTTTGAATCACGGCTCACGATCAAAGTGTCGCGTTCGCTTCCGAGTTTCTCCCGTCATCTCACCTGTTTGCGTGTACTCGTGAAATTCGCAATTTTCAAGTACCGCGCTGGTTAATTCGAACGACCTCGATAATATCGCCGGTTCTTCTATCGCGCTGCGCACATATTTGTGCTTTACTTTGAAATATCATTATATTAATTACAGTGGATGATGATGTTTCTTCAGGCAAAAATGTACAGTGACTCGTAAAAGTACTATACTTGTTGAAAGAAAGGAAAGTTTAATGCTGGAACTAATACTAAAAGATTCTACAATACAAGTAAATCATTGCAATTTAAACGATAGTGATTGAAATAGATAAATCTGTACAATCATGTCAACAGACAAGACTGAACGTTGTTGTAAATACCAAAGATAATTATATGATAAATATAAAAGTATTTCAGAAATTGTAAAAAAAGAAAATCTGGTTGATGAGATAAGTGATAAGTGATGAAAGAGTGTACCGTATTTTTAAGAAATAAATTGTATTTCGCAAGAACGACTAAATGTAAAATTTACTTCAAGATAGATTACTGCTACCAAAATAATAAAGAGTATGGCTAGTATTCATAGTATCGTGAACTTTCTTTCGTCAGTATACAATATATCTATATATAAAAAAAAACTTTTATACATAGAACGAAAAAAAAAAA